AGATAGATAGATAGATAGATAGATAGATAGATAGATATAGAGAGAGATAAAGATATAGAGACAGGCATAGAGAGACAGTGAAAGAGGGAGGGGCAATAAAACTTAAAATGACATCAAATTCTGCTCTCGTTCCTCCTGGCTAACTGCCCACACTAACGTACATTGAATCTGGCAATTTAAAAATCAGAAACACAACCAAAACCGACCCCATTTCTCACAACGATCTGCCACGGGTTAGGTGTACATGAACTGGTTTCGCTCCAGTGACAAGATCAAGTGAAACGGCGCAAACGACCCCAGTTAGACGGTGTGCTATGTCATGTTTTATTTCAAAAATTAAGCCAGGACAGAGCTTTCTGAGAGATAGCATCGTAGATTATGTCGTTGCGGCTAATCCGCTCCTGGTCTACGTGACCTGCAACCGATGAATCATTGTTATGTTCGAAGTCTCATTTTCTCTCTCTGTCGTTGTCTCTCTCTGCCTGTCTGTCGTTGTCTCTCTCTGTCTGTCGCTGTCTCTCCGTCTGTCTGTCTGTCCGTCTGTATCTTTCTTTCTCCCTCCCCTTCTTCCCATCCCTTGCTATCTGCCTGTCGCTGTCTGTCTGTCTGTCTCTCTGCTTTTTTCTCACTATAGCTTTTCTTTCATCTCTCATCTCTTTCAGAGTACATGTATGTGTGTTTTTAATTTGTGTGTGTATGTGTGTAAATGTTATGTTTTCTTGATGTAAAGAATCCAAACACACAGTAACCCCTCACCACGCCCAACTCCCCTTAAAAAAACAAACAAAACATTTAAAAAATAACAACAACAACAACAGCAAACAAACACAAAGAAACGAAAGGAAAAAACGAGTAGGTGATTTCTTTCTACAACATAATCATAGACCGCTGGAGGCAGACTTTATTTTTTATTTCAATTTTTGATTTAAAAACAGCTTGGTGCCGGCATATCACGTGAAACAATCACACCGAGGAGAAGTTTGAGCGCCCTTTCTCTAGCCCCCCAGTCATAATACATATAACATGGCCAAGCCCACGAATTACGACTGACAATGACAGACACAAATTCCACAAGCAATGATTGAATCACCTTGTCTAACACAACCAGGAGAAAACCCAAG